TTATGGGAAAGCTAGACACCCCACTGTGTCTGCGCTACTGCGCCAGATTGAATTTTATTATTATAGCTTCTGAGAGTTTTCCTGAAACTCAAATTCAAAGGACACTTATGTTTTGAGTCAACTGGAGGATAAAGCAACCATCAGGTGCAGGCGCGAAAACCCTACTGGGTTTGTCACAGAGTTGATGACTGAACCGCCCAGCCTGCGTGTGACGTCACTAACTCCCAGCAGCGAGCACCGCTTCTGCCCCTTCCAGGTGAACAATCTCACCCACCGCCCCCGAGTCCCCAAAGTCCCGCCGGCAGCCACTGCGCATGCCCAGACCGCGTGACCAATGGGAGCCTGGCGCACGGGAGCGAAGGCGGGGCTACGTTATTCTCCCAGGCCCCGTAGCTTCAGAGAGAGGGAGGGACTAGAATGTGGCCGTGGACCAATCAGAGCCCACGATGGCGCTTGACAGCTCTGGTGCCCGGACAGCAATCTCGCGGGGCGGGGCGGTGGTTAAAATGGCGGATGGGAGAGAGGCCGGCGCGACCCGAGAATCGGGCTCGCCCAGGCGGGCGGGGTCGGGGAGATGGGAAGGAGGGTCGGGGGGCCGCCATGAGGGGAGGAGGCGGCCGTCGTATTCCTCCCCGGCAAATAAATGGTCTTTGCAATATGGCCGCCCCTCCCCCGCGCTGGGATGGGGCGGACTGTTCCATTTTGCGTCCCTCCCCCTGTCCGCTGTGGTGCGGTCCAGGCGGCAGCGGTAACGCTCCTGGGGCGCGGGCTTGGTGGGGTGGCCCTGTCAACCTGGGCGCCATTGTCCCCGGCGCATGCACTGCTGGCAGAGGCTCCATAAGGGCGGCGGTGCCGGCTGCAATGGTGGCCTTAACGGGGACGGTTCCGACTGTGGTGGGAGCGGTGGCTTGACCTCCCTCAGCAATGATTCCCCCTTGGCACACCCCACACCTGAGAGCCAACCCCTCCTTCCAGGCACTGGCTGGGGCCCCAGGCCCTCTCAGCAGTTCTGGTGATGGGCACCCCTCTCTGCACAGTGACAGCCCCTACGCTGCCTGAACTCCCTCCATCCCCCCACTTCACCCGCCCCCACTGAGAGTCCCTGGCCCCGGTCTCTGTTCTGAGTGTCCAAGTGGGAAGTGAAGCCAGGGGGGTGGGAAGGGGTTGGGGGGAGCACCCCCAAATCTTAGGCACCCCTAGACCTCAGCCTTAGCCCAGATATCAGCACCAATGTCTCACCACCCATCGTCCCCAGGGCAGCCCAGAACATTCCTTCTAGGGCAGCAGTGCTCCTGAGAGTGGCATGCCCACATGGGCTCCGGGTGACTTGCCTGCCCCTGCTGAGGAGCGCTATAGCCACAGAACTGAGTGGCTTTGGCTTCCATATCTGAACTCTGACCTCTGGCTGCCTTAGCCAAAGCACCAAATCAGAGTGGCCCAGATTTCTTCACTTGACTCCTGATCTCTGGTCCCTAGTCAGGGCCTGGACTCTCCAAACTGAGGCAACCAGAGACTCCCTACCAGCCAAACCCAGGGCTGGGCTGCTTTAAGCAGGTGCCAGGACTGGTTTGGCCTCTGGGCCTGCACTGCCTACAGGAGCAGCCCTTTGGTTTCCGGGCCCAGGGCTGAAATGTGGGAATAGTAATTTCTCCCCTCCTTTTCCCTCTCCCCACCCCAGGTTCTTCAAAGGCACCAGAATTAATAACACTTTTTATTTGGGAAAACAGAAACAACACTCCTGGAATCACAAAGTCAAGGGTGTGGGCAGCCCTTGAGACCTACAGACTGGGAAGTGGACACTCCTTGAGTCATACGCACAGGGGTTTGGGCGCTCATGGGGTCACACACATTGGGGAGTAGATACTCTTAGGGTCACACATGGCTGTGGACACTTCTGGTGTCACAGGCTGGGGAATGGACACTTGGGTTGAAGCATCCATCTTGTATGAAAACTGCTGTTTGAAATTTTAACCCCGCTATTTGGCTTCTGTAAATTAAACCTACCCCAGACAAGGTTATCAGTGCTGGTGCCAGGCCAGGCCTCAGGTTGAGGTCTCAGGGCCCCAGTACACACTGGCTCTTTAAGAACTTGCAAAAGGGGGCCGGAAGCACTCCATATTGGGGAGACAAAGACAGTAGGATAATATAAATGGGGAGAATTCCTGCATGTTGGGGCCCAGAATTTGAGGCACATTTTCCTCTGGTCCCACGTGTAATAAATGTAACTCCATCTCTCAAGTATTGCTTTGTTCTTCTTAGGTTTTCTGTAATAGGGTCACATAGATTGGGGTGCAGGGCCATAGAGAAGACCCGTGTAGACAGAGTTGGTGGTGACCTTGAGGGTGTGGGCAGTGCAGGGACTGGGAGAGGACCTCTGGTTCCCTGGCTAGCAGCCGCAGGTCTAGAAGGGAAGGACAGCTGGCTGGCACAGTGATTTCTTGTGCAAGTGGTGATGGAGCAGGGGGAGGGTGGGAAACATGACGGGTGAGACCTCTGAGGTTGGCCAGGAGGGCTCCCGGAACATGTCACGGTCCTGGAGGACTGCATGGGTGGGTCCACGGAAGAGATCTCTGAGGTGGGCTCTGCAGCAGGGAGAGGTAGAGAAAGGGCAGCAGGAAGTGGCCATGTGTTTTGGGTCTCTGACTGACCGCCAGTGGTGGTGGGACCTGACAGTCTGATGGAGGGTGAGGAGAGGAGTGGGGGGGGGAGACATGGGAAATGCTAGGCTGAAGGGATGATAATTCATTTATCCAATTTAGCTATTTCATGAAAACAACAATACAGAATTATAACGTATTAAGCTCTATGCTGGTCACTGTACATGACTTATCTCATTTAGTCTTCACAACAACCTTAACTGCTATTACTATCTTCACTTTTTGGGTGAGAGCACTGAGGCATGAGAGGTTATCAGACTTTAAGCAGCTGGTAAGTGCCAGCGCCAGGCTGGCGGGCTCCAGAATCGGTGGTTCTAACCATTGAGAAATTCTTATTTCTTCAGGTGTCTCTGCTTCCTGTGCACACTGTGTCCTCACTCCACTGACCAAGGCTAGCATTTGCACCTCCTCTGAGGGGCCCTAAAGCACCCATTTGCTGTAGCATCAGTGAACAGTGTGGACTTCTCTGTTTTTCTCTCCCCTTTTTCCCAGGTGTGGGGGTGAAGAGATGGCAGGGGAATCCTGTGGGAGGAGGACAGTAAGTCACAGCATAGAAATCTAGATTGTATGATGGTTATTCAAAAAATACTGGTTGAGCTTCTGCATGCAGGGTCCTATGTTAGGGTGGTGGGGACTCGGCAATGAATAAGACAGACAGGGTCTGGCCAGCATGGCTCAGTGGTTGAGCCTCCAACTGTGAACCAGGAGGTCACAGTTCGATTTCCGGTCAAGGGCACATGCCCGTGTTGTGGGCTCAGTCCCCAGTGAGGGGTGTGCAGGAAGCAGCCAATCAACGATTCTCTTCATGATTGATGTTTCTATCCCTCTCTCCCTCTCCCTGAAATCAATAAAAACATGTATTTTTTTTTTTTTTAAAGAGCAGGAAAGTGGAGAACCAAAGACACAGAGAAGGATCAGAGGCATTTTTTTTTCAGCCCCAACGTGGCACTTAACAATTTAGGAGCTCACATACACTGAGTGGCCAGATTATTATGATCTCCTAATGCATACTAATCTGGCCACTCAGTGTATGTGTGTGTGTGTGTGTGTATTGGAGGCCCAGTGCATGAATTCATGCATGGGTGGGGTCTGGCCAGCCTGGCCAGGGGGAGGGGACATGGGCTGTTGGCCGGCCTGCCTGCTGGTCAAACTCCTGGTCGAGGGGACAATTTGCATATTAGCCTTTTATTATATAGGATATACACCAAGTGGCCAGATTATTATGCGTTCAGAGATCATCATCATCTGGCCATTCAGTGTAATTAACCTCAGCTCCGCAAAGCTGTGTGATCTCAGGCACGATAGCTAAGCTCTGGGCCGCGGCATCCCTATGGAGGGGACAGTTGTGCTTACATCATGGTATCCTCTGTGAAGAGGAAATGAATTACTAAAGTAAGGCACTTAGAAAAAACACAGAAAACACTAGGCCAATTGGAAATTAATCCCTCATTCAATCCTCCGTTTATTGAATGTCTAGTTTGTGCCAGATACTGGAGATATGCTTTATACACAGTGAGAGTTCAATGAGCAGTGTTAAAACGAACGAATGGCCTGGCCGGCATGGCTCAGTGGGTGAGCATCTAACTATGAACCAGGAGGTCACGATTTGACTGCCAGTGAAGGCACCCCCAGTGTGGGTCGTGCAGAAGGCAGCCGATCCATGATTCTCTCTCATCATTGATCTCTGTCTGTCCGATGTCTGTCTCTCTCTCTCCCTTCCTCTCTAAAATCAATAAAAACAAGTTAAAAAGGGGGGAGGGGTGATAAGCAGAACATAATTTGGGAGCTGCGGGGAGGCAGGGGTAAGGGATGGGGAAGTGAGCCAGGTTGTTAGGGTCTCAGCAGGAGTGTGGGACCCCAGGCACTTGCCACTCACTGTGTAATGAAAGGAAATGTTCAGCGCAGTAATCCTTCAGCAACAGAAGCCTAGGACCACAGGCCTCCCAGGCTAACGGGACATTTTGGGGAAGGAGGAGGCCACTCAGCCCCATGACTGTCCTCAATGACCGACTGCAGAATGCCTTACAGAAGTGCGGTAGTGGCCTCCCTCTTGCTGCCAATCAGAGGGAGGAAGATCTCAGCCAGTCAGAGGGAGGTGGGCCCCAGGGAATAAGAAAGAAGGAAGAGGACATGGGCTGGTCCAAAAGGTGGGTCTACCCAGTCAAATGAGGCGGACCCCAAACTCAGGGCAGAGGGTCCAAGTCTGTCCTCGAGAGGAGGAGCTGTGGAGGACCTGTTTCCCTTGTGGTTTTTTGTACTTCCTGTTCCCCTGCTCACTGCGGAAGTTCCTCTTCTTACCCTGCACCCAGAGCCTAACCAGAGAGGACAAGGGCAGGAGGCACCATGAGTGGGGGCCCTGCGGGAGGCAGGCCTGGGGGCCGCGGAGCACAGGCGGTTCAGCAGAACATACCCTCCAGCCTCCTCCAAGACCATGAGAATCAGCGAGTCTTCGAGATGCTCGGAAGGAAATGCTGGGTGAGCTGGGGACCTCCTGGCCCTCCCTGTCTCTCTCCCTTTCCTCTTCCTCTCCTCACTTGCCTCCTCCTCCTCTTCCGCATCCTCCCTCTCTCCTCCTTTCCTCCCCTTCCTCTCTCCTCATCTTCCCCAGTCTCCTCCTCCTCTTTTTCCCCTCTCCTTCATTCCCTCTCCATCATCTCCTCTCCTAGAATCCACTTACCCCCATTCATCAATCCCAGGAAGATCTTCATGTGTTTTCGCTTTCTCTCTGGTCACGGCTCTTCCTTCGGGGCCACCACAGCCATGGGCAATGGAGGACCAAGTCTGGTTCCCAGACCCTCTGGTTGCCCCCTCCCAGACTCCACTGAACCCCCGTTCTCCCCTCCCAGACACTGGCCACCGCAGTTATTCAGCTGTACATGGCGATGCCCCCTGGAGCCGAGCGCTGGACCAAGAAGCACTGTGGGGCAGTGTGCTTTGTGAAGGACAACCCCCAGAAGTCCTACTTCATCCGCCTCTACAGCCTTCAGGTGATCCCCACCCTCCCCCGCTGCATATGCAAACCCATTTCAACCTGCAAGCCTAGATCTGGGTCCCGAGCCCTGAGCTCTCCACAGATAGTGAACCTCTGGACCCCAGAACCAAAGACGTCATCCAGAATCCAAATCTGGTTTGCCTTTCTAAGCCTGTGATGACTGGCCCTAGAGTCTCCATTTCAATGTCTATAACCCCCAGATATTAGTATACTGCCTAAGTCTAATCTGTTCCATAATCTCCCCTCACCCCAAAAGTAAGCACTATATTTTTTTTCTGAAACTCAAATCTACTCTAAATCAACATTTTGGATCTCAGAAATCCCCCATCAAAACGCCCGAACCTCAGATGTTTATTTAGCCCCTAATTCATAAGCCTATTCCCCAAACCACAAACCTGAATATGCCAACATCTGACCTTTTAACCCCATAGCAAGGACCCCAGAATTCCTGAATCTGTTCCACAAGCTCCCAACCTGGACTTCCGAGGAATAGACCCCAAATGCATCCTTCTAAACCCATAAAGATGAACTGGCATATCCTCATCAATAACCCAGAGCCATCAAATACTAACTAAACTCTTAAGCCATAACCCTGTTCAAACCTCAAATTGCACATACCTTGCCTGAAACCCTCCCCACAAATTCCCAAGTCTGTATGTCTGAACCTCAGATATCAACCCCAACTCCCGATACTGAAGCCCTGCCTGCCCAAATGAAGGACTCCAGAAGGGGGGTATGGGATGGGATCTAGAATGGGCTCAGTTTCTTAGCACTGGAGTCCAAAAAATCCTCAAATTCAGGCCCCCAAGTCCCACATCTAGGGCCCCAAACCCCAAATCCAAATCTCTCACCACGGTGTCCAACTCTCATATTGTAACCCAACCCTCTACATCTTGACCCCTAGACCCCCAACTCTCTGATGCTGAGTTAGAAATACCCAAACCAGATCCCGGGGCTCCACATTTGGATACATGTTCCCTGCCCAGATAACAGAGACCTGCCGCCCAGGGCACGCCTCAGTGCCAGTGTGTTCCCCTCCTCTCCAGGCAGGCCTGCTGCTCTGGGAACAGGAGCTGTACTCACAGCTGGTTTACTCCACCCCCACCTCCTTCTTCCACACCTTTGCTGGAGATGTAAGTGACCATCTGGGCCTCATTTGGGATGTTGGTGGGGGGTATGGGAAAGGTATGGGGGTCCTGGTAGGCTGCTGACCCCAAGGTGTGTGCAGGACTGCCAGGTGGGGCTGAACTTTGCAGATGAGAAGGAGGCCCAGGCCTTCCAGGCCCTGGTGCAGGAGAAGATACAAAAAAGGAATCAGAGGCAAAGTGGAGGTGAGGAGGCCTTGGGGGAGGAAAGGAGGTCGGCCTGAGGTGAATGCAAGAGTGGGGAGCTGTAAAAGCCCCTCCCATGGTTCTGGTTCCCAGTCTGCCTGTCTCTCTACAGACAGACGCCAGCTACCCCCACCACCAGCACCGATCAATGAAGGTGAGTCCTCTAGTGCAAGTAAGGATGTAAGAGGCTAGCACAGGCACCTGTGGCAAGGTGGTCAGAGCTTTCTACCCATTCTATCTTCCCAGAGAGAAGAGGAGGGTTTCCGCCCCTGCCCTCGCACTCAGGTGGAGACCAAGGGGGTGAGTGCTAATTCTTCCTTGTCTCCGAATGGACAGGTGGGTCGGTGGATGAGTAATTTGGTGGGTGCAGAGATAATGGGTGATTGAGTGGGTGGATGAATGTATGGAAGTGTGTGTGGAAGGATTGGTGGTGGATAGGTGGTTGAGTAAGTGGATGAATTGATAGGAGGATGAAAATGTACATAGGTATATAAATGTATAGGTGGGTGTACAAATGCATAGGTAAATTGGTATGTGGATAAGTGGATGAATGAATGGAGGAATGATTTAGTAAATTAATGAATGTGTGAGTGAGTGAATGACCTGAACAGTGAACAAATGAAAAAGTGATATAAAATTTCAATTGGCAAAGGAATTAATTATTGAATGAATGAATGAGTGAATAAATAATTTAACAAATTTGTTAATAAACCAGTGAATGAATGAATCAATACTTAAGTGATAAGCATGGTGACTGAATAAATAATTGAATCAGTGAATGTGTGAATGGTTTTTGGGAACCACCCATTCATTTCTCTGTAAACCCTCTTTGGATCCCCCACCCCCTCCCTCCATGACCATCAAACACACACAGAGATTTCCCCAAACTGTCTTCCTCTCTCTTGCCCCTATACTTTGGTTGGTAGGTAAGTGGGTCAATGGTTTAGTTACTCTATTTCCCCACAGGCCCAGCAGCTGGATCACTGTCCCTGGGGATGGGGACAGTGGACATCCAGAACCCGGACATCACAAGTTCACGATACCGTGGGCTCCCGGTACCTGGCGCAAGCCCAGTTGATAAGAAACGCTCAGGGAAGAAAAAGATCAGAAAGGCTGATATTGGTGCACCTAGTGGATTCAAGTGAGAACCTTTCTCCAACAGGTCCCCAGATCCCTGGGAGGGGGGAAGATGAACAGATGGACAGAAGAGCTAAGTGGATGAAAGGATGGGCAGATGATTGGGGGGGAGGGGAGAATAGATGAGTGGATGGGTGGGTGGGTGCAAGGCCAGGTCTAGGGAAAGACAAGTGAGGCACCAAGGTTCCAAAATTTTCAGGGTCATGCAAGTTCAATTCATGACTGAGCGTGAGTGCCTCCTTAAATGTTGTACCCTAGTCTTAACCTGGGTGGGCTGGAGGGTGAGTAGATGGGTGAGTAGATATATGGATGAATGAATAAATGAGTAGGAGGAGAATAAATGGATAGGTGGTTGGATGGATGGGAGGATGGGTAAATGGGAAGTGGGGATAGAAGGATGGATCTATAGGCTGATTGGTTCACAGACAAGGTAGACGGGGATGGATAGATGGCCAGATTTATGGATGAATCAACAGTTCAATGGATAAATGGACAGAAGTATGTGGTTGAATGGAGACAAATGAGTGATGAATGGAAAGGTGAGCACATGGATAGATGGCTAGTTGGATGGACAAGTGTGTGGGAGGACAGATTGATGGACAAATGGGTAAACAGATGTGTGTAGGCAGACAAGTGGAGAGACAAATATGGATCAGCAGTCTGACAGGTGAATGGGAATGGCTAGTTGGACAAATGGATGGTGGATAGATGGTGAAAATAGGGATGAAATGTATAGATGGCACCACAAACTATGGACCCCTTGTAATTCCATAACTACTGCCCTCATTCATTCACTTATGTCTCATTTGTTAATTCTGGCCCCTCTGGACAGGAGAGGGTAAGAGGGCTTCACTGGGGTTTTCTCTCCTCCCCTAGACATGTCAGCCACGTGGGATGGGACCCCCAGAATGGATTTGATGTGAGTAACTCCAAAGTCCCCTGGACCCTATTCAGCTCCCTCTCTGGGGTGGACCCGATGACAGTCCACATCCCTTCCCTCCCCACCTTATTTCCCCACTCCTGCCCCTGACTTTTTCCTCTGGGGCAGGTGAACAACCTGGACCCGGATCTGCGGAGCCTGTTCTCTAGGGCGGGAATCAGCGAGGCCCAGCTCACTGATGCTGAGACCTCCAAACTCATCTATGACTTCATTGAGGACCAGGGCGGGCTGGAAGCTGTGCGGCAGGAGATGAGGCGCCAGGGTGAGTCCCTTTTTCTGGACACCCCCTTCTTCTCCATTCCTGGTGGCTGATTTCCAAAAGTAATCGCTTAGTCCTCCTGGAACCCCCTCTACTGCTACAATTGGGAGTTGGTCAGTTGGGTACCCACTAAAAAAAAAAAAAAAGTTTTTTATTGATTTCCGAGAGGAAGGGAGAGAGGAGAGAGAGATGGAAACATCAATGATGAGAGAGAATCATGGATCGGCTGCCTCCTGCAAGCCTCACACTGGGGATGTGCCCACAACCCGGGCATGTGCCCTTGATCAGAATCAAACCTGTGACCCTTTAGTCCACAGGCTGATGCTCTATCCACTGAAGGAAACTGGCTAGGGTTCGGGTACCCATTTTACAAATGAGTGAAACAGGCTTGGAAGAAAACGATAATAATAGCTATGTGTTATTCCCCCCTCAGATCCGCTTCCACCACCCCCACCGCCATCCCGAGGAGGGACCCAGCCCCCTCGGCCCCCAGCTGTAGGGAGTAACAAGGGTCGTTCTGGTCCGCTGCCCGCTGTACCTTTGGGAGGTATGCCGCCGCCACCACCACCAACTCCACGGGGGCCCCCACCTCCCGGCCGAGGGGGCCCTCCACCACCACCCCCTCCAGCCACAGGACGCTCTGGGCCACCACCCCCTCCACTCCCTGGAGCTGGGGCTCCACCCATACCACCGCCACCACCTCCTCCACCACCACCACCCAGCTCTGGAGATGGGCCAATGCCTCCCCCAGGCCCTCCTCCTCTGGGGCCTGTGGGGGGCCTGGCCCCTGCTGGAGGTCGGGGGGCCCTTTTGGATCAAATCCGGCAGGGAATTCAGCTGAACAAGGTGAGGACCAGCAGGATGAAGGGCTGGGGGCCTGGGATTCTGGGTTGTACTGTGCAAATAAGGATGTTAGAGGACGGGGGCTGAAACTGAGGGGGGTCCCGGGCTTGTGAGGTTCAGTGACAGGGTTGGGAGGTTGATGCGGAGAGGTGGGCTTAGAGTCTTGAAGGGGAACTGGAAGAGGTGGGGAGCAATGCTCTCACAGGCCCTGAGCCTTCTGTGCCGGACCCTGCTTGCTGCAGACCCCTGGAGCCTCAGAGAGTTCCCCGCTGCAGCCGCCACCTCAGAGCTCCGAGGGGCTGGTGGGTGCCCTGATGCACGTGATGCAGAAGAGAAGCAAAGCCATCCACTCTTCAGGTGAGTCTGCCCCCCCCTCCCCCCGCCACTTGCGGGCTGCCCTCTCTGGGGTCCAACCTGCCAGGACAGTGACCCTGCTTTCCACGGCTAGTGTTGGCCTAAAAACAATAGTCTCTATTAGTAGTAGCATCAGCCCCATCTGTTGATGATAGTGATAAGGTGTAGCTTGTATCAATCTCTCTTTAAAAAAATATATATTTTTATTGATTTCAGAGAGGATGGAAAAGGGAGGGAGGGAGGGAAGGAGGGAGGGAGAGAGAGGAGAGAGAGAGAGAGAGAGAGAGAGAGAGAGAGAAACATCAATGATGAAAGAGAATCATCTATCGGCTGCCTGCTGCATGGGGTGCAAGCCTACAACCCAGGCATGTGTCCTGACCAAGGATCAAACTATGACTTCCCGGTTCATAGGTTGACACTCAGCAACTGAGCTATGCTGGCGGGGCTCAGTCTCCTTTTTGACAATGTTGATGTTGTCATTATGTAACAATAGTATAATTAACTATCTTTGACAATAATATTAATATTAATGACAAGGTATGTCCACATTATTAACATTAATCCCATTTGTTCAGTAGTGTTAACATTAGCCCACTCTGTTATGATAATATTAGAGGCTTGGTGCAAGAATTCGTGCATGGGTGGGGTCCCTCAGTCGGGCCGACAATCGGGGCCTATAGGGTTGGCCAGCCAGGGGGAGAGACCAGGGGAGATTGGCTGGCCACAGGAAGTTGGCTGTGGGAGCACACTGACCACCAGGGGGCAGCTCCTGCATTGGGTGTCTGCCCCCTGGTGGTCAGTGTGTCGTCATAGCTACTGGTCAGCCGGTTGAGTGGTTCACTGGTAATAAAGGTTGCTTAGGTTTTTATATAGAGAGATTAGAAAGAACCCCATCTTTGACAATATTATTCACCCTACCTTCATGTGTTAATAGATTAACAGTAACTATGTCATAGTATTATAACTACCCAATCTTTTTGCAATAATGTTAACAGGAATCCCCTAATGTGTCAACAATATTGTTATATGACAATTATGTGAGGATAATATGGAGTTCAACCTATTAGGTGACAATAATATAATTAACTTCAATTTGGACAATAATATTAACATTCATCCCAGAGTATATTCACAAGATTAACATGAATCCATTATATGACAATCTTATATCTATATCTATATCTATATCTATATCTATATCTATATCTATATCTATATCTATATCTATATCTATATCTATATCTATATCAAAGGCTAAGTGACTGACTGTATATACGTCCCACTGTCAGACCAATTGACTAGCCAGTACATATGACACACACTGGCAACTTAAAAATAAAGGTTGACTTGTGCATGTGCGATACATATAAAGCTCTTGCTGGCTCCAATCGCATGTGTATGCTTTGATCTGTCATTGTCGATTGTGAATTTGGTTGTTTTGTTGACATTCTGAAGCTAAAAGAAAGCACGTCATTAACAGAATATATATAAAAGGCTAAGTCTATAATGTCTCAGTGTTGTGCCACATGCTATGCCATCGGCCATAGTACAAATGAGTTTTTTAAAAAAATATATATTTTATTGATTTTTGTACAGAGAGGAAGGGAGAGAGATAGAGAGCTAGAAACATGAGATGAGAGAGGGCCATCGATCAGCTGCCCCCCGCAGACCCCCTACTGGGGATATGCCCGCAACCAAGGTACATGCCCTTGACCGGAATCGAACCTGGGTCCCTTCAGTCCCCAAGCCGACGCTCTATCCATTGAGCCAAACCGGTTTCGGCCATAGTACAAATGAGTTTTAAGTACGGGAGTGTTTGGGGACGTTTCAGACAGTTGCCTCTTAAAACAAATATGAGATCAGAAGATTCTGCTTATAGCGAATGGTTAGTAAAACTTAGAGATGGCAACTGACACTTCTATTATAAAGAAAAGGCAAATAGCGGTATTAAAATATTTCTTCTAATTAATTTCCTTTCAATGTGCACAAATCCATGCACCAGGCCACTAGTATTATAATAAACTCCAAATCTTTTGGAGTTAACATTATTATTAACTCCATTATTTGTCAACAATATTAACATTAACCTGCTATGAAACAATAATATTGTAACTTAGTCCACTTTTGCTAATAATATTTAAATTCACCCCATTAAATGACAAGCCTGTTAATGTTAACCCTTTGTATGACAATAATATCCAACTAACCATACATTTTTTATAGTAATATTCACTTAAACTCCAACTAGAACCCAGACCCCAACTATATCTTGTCCCAAATGGAAACCCTAATTCTTTCTCCTCTGTGGGGGCCTCACCCTTAGCCCATGCACAGACCCCAGACTTGACTTCCTCACAGGAGACTTCAGCCCCCCAAGGCCTTGAGTCCTGACTTCTTAATCCCTAGGAACCTCTTTTTCTTAATCCCTTGTGAACCCTCCTGCCCATCTGAGTTCCACTCTTTCTGTTCCCCTCTAGACGAAGGGGAGGACCAGGCCGGAGATGACGATGAGGACGATGAATGGGACGACTAGGCCAACACCCTCCCCACCTGGTCTGCACCTGATCCCCTGGCAGCTGCTGCTTATGGCCTCTTCCCCCGGCTTCCAGGTCCCCAAGGCCTGTTTCTCCTCTCCCAAGCCCTCCAATGCTGTTATCTCTGACCGGCTCCCAGTCGCCTTAGCAATAGCCCCTTTTGATACAAAAATTCTCAGTTCTCAGTCAAGAATTTTAAAATAAAAATGAAATAATGGTCTTTTTGGTTCACTAAATCTGTTTGTTTATAATCCAAATGTGGGAATTTTGGGTTCTTTTCTCCCAAAGTCCCTTTTATTCATCTATCCTGTTTTTTAAATTTACTTTTTAATTTATTTATTATTGAAAGTATTACATGTCTCCCCCCCCCTTTTTAAAAATATATTTTTTATTGATTCTTTACAGAGAGGAAGGGAGAGGGATAGAGAGCTAGAAACATCAATCAGCTGCACACTCCCCACTGGGTATATGCCCGAAACCAAGGTACATGCCCTTGACCAGAATCAAACCTAGGACCCCTGAGTTCGCAGACCGACACTCTATCCACTGAGCCAAACCGGTTTCAGCTATTTATTTTTTAAAAACTGTTCAACCAACCCTAGATCAAGAGAGTTCTCAATGATTAGACTTCCCCACTCTCCATGCACACAACTCACACAGGATCCTAATGGGCAGAATCCCCCTCTCTCTTTTTCCCCCTACAATAGGGTTTTTATTATCTGTAACAGGCACAATTATTTAAAGTTAATACATTTTTATTTAAGGTATTTCACATGTTTTGAGCTCTTCCACTGCCTTAGTTCCTCCCAAGTTTGAGTCTTAATCATCTTAATCCATTTTTTGCTCAATCCAGTTGTAATTTCAGTCAGTCCCATATATCAGTAACAGGAATAGAGATGATCATGTGATCACAAACCGTATGCTCACTAGCAACCCAGAAGAATTACTAGACAAAGGCCATCAAGGCTCCAGAGATCTAAGACAGCTATTATAAAATCTCATGGATTACCAATGGCTATTCCAAAATCACGTATAGCTTATGTTATATTTATAGTGGGAAACAGAGACTCCCCCCTTAGTATTAAAATGTGGTTCTGCCCAGTTCCCCGTGTAAAGCAAGTCCTGGCCAATGGCAATGGAAGAGGCCATCAGCTAGATTGCTGAAGAACCCAGGCAAGATGCCACACCTGAGTCTCAGTTTCCTAATCTGTATAATGGGGGTCACACCATGTAACAAATTTCCTACTGGGAGCCCACTGGGTTGCCCCTCTTCCTCCTCCTCCAGGGCTTCCCCTCCAGAATGCTCGATTTGGGAATGTATCTACAGAAAAAACTGGAAAGGAACAGGGAAACCTTGTGTCTAGGGAGTTTTTCCCTTTTAAAATTCCTTTAACATATTTTTTAAAGTTTTAAGTAAAAAAAAAAAAAAAAGATCATGCTTTAAACTACTCTCATGGGTTGGAAGGGTCTCTTGGACTCCAGGGAGTAGGAGGGAACTAAAATCAGACTCTGTTCTAGATGGAATTAGGGAAGGAAGGGGAATGTATGGTGGGTCTTATGCTGTTGACTGTTCCATTTACAGCAAGCAGGGGCTGATGGAACCTGTCATTTCTCCAAACAGCTCACAGCTGGACTGACATACAGAATCCTATATAATAAAAACTTTATATGCTAAGTGTCCAACCGTTTGTTCAACCATTTGACCAGTCGCTATGATGCACACTGACCACTAGGGGAAGATGCTCTGCTGGCAGGTTAGCTTGCTGCTGGGATCTGGCGGATGGGGACTGGGTGAGAAGGGCGGGTACTCCCTGAAGTCCTGCCGAGGTCCCTCCCCAACTGGCTAACCTTCCGTGGTCCCTCCCCGGCCAATCATGCACCAGTGGGGTCTCTCTGCCTGGCCTGTGCCCTTTCCCAATCCAGGACCCCTTGGGGGATGTTGGAGAGCCAGTTTCAGCCTGATCCCCACAGGCCAGGTCGAGGGACCCCACAGGTGCACGAATCTGTGCACTGGGCTCTAGTAACCTTATAACTATATAAGTTTATACAGTTATAAGGTTGACTATATAACTGTTTGGTTGACTACATAACTCATGGACTGACAAAGAGAGGGGCAATTTCAGGAACTGACAGAAGGTTTCCTGATGCTGTGCAGTACTGAATAGCTAACAACTACAGCCCACCTGGAACTGGCTGGGGCTGGGGTTCTGACAGTGTAGAGGACCGGAAGCCTCCAGAGGGACTGACATGCTGGATGACTCCTGATCCATGGAGTCTGTGGGTGGAGGATGACCATTGCTAGGAATCACACCTGGCCGGAGGGCGGTTCTGGATGTTACTCTGCCTGGTGATGTGTAGAGGAGGGCTGCCCTGGGGACACTTCAGGCTGGCTGATGGACAGATCTGTGGCCCTCGGATACGCAGCTGTCTCTGGTGACTGACTGTCCGCCCTGACCAAGTTACAGCATGTTTGACAGATCACGTGCTCAGTTGGATGCTGAGCCCGGCTACCTGGCTGATCTACAACATGATGAAGGGCAGACAGAATGGGTCACAAGCCAGCTGACCAAGAAAGAGCAGTGTAGCTGCCTGAGTTGATGAGTGTATGAGGTTAGAATCACAGTTGCCCAGCCCTAGCCGGTTTGGCTCAGTGGATAGAGCGTTGGCCTGAGGACCAAAGGGTCCTGGGTTCGATTCTGGTCAATGGCAGGTACTTAGGTGTACCTTGGTTACAGGATCCTTCCCAGCCCAGACCCTGGTCAGGGAGGGTGCAGGAGGCAACCAATCGATGTGTTTCTCTGACATCGATGTTTCTCTCGGTCTTTCCCTCTCTCTTCCACTCTCTCTAAAAGATCAATGGAAAAATATCACCGGGTGGAGATTAACAAACAGAACAACAAAGAATCGCAGTTGGCCTGATGGGTGACTGTCCAATGGGGGGAGGGGGCATGCCTCCCTGAGAAAGGACAGACTGCTGACCCACTGACAGGTGGCTTGGAGGCTTAATGCTACCTTTAGTTTCCGTGACTATTTGCTCCGAGAGATTAAACTACCTGATCATGGTCGGAATGAGGGGGGAATAACAGTCATTTGACAACTGATGGCAGATAGCGTGACCTGCCCCACAGGGCTACATGAGATGCTGACAATGCCAGCCAGGCCTGACCTAATGGCAGCCCGCCCGAGGGCATGGCTGGTGTCTGGGGCTTCCCGAGTGGGGAGGGAGATGACTTCCCCAGGGAGGTTCAGAGCAGGTGCCAGTGCAAGGACGCTGCCTGAGTGCCAGCCGGCCAAGAAGGGACGGGGACAGCGTGGCGGTTAGTAAGCACAGCATGTCCGCCTCTAGGGACCAGCCGCTGGCGGGGGCGGGGGTGTGTGTGTGGGAGCGCCCGGGGATGGCTGCTGCTGGCGACTGATAGTGTGAACGGCAGGCCTGGCAGGCGGGGTCTGATAGGCAGCGTGATGAGCCCCATTGTGCCATCGGAGTCGGGGCTGATTCGGAGACCGAGCTGCCGTCTGGGAGCGCGGTCCCCCGGCGGCGGCGGGGAGTCACGATCTGCTCGGGCTGACGACGTGCCGGGCCGCCGGGGGTGGCAACTGGGGGGTCAGACGGAACGACGCATTTCCGCCGGCAGCCTTCCAACCCCGCCGCCCCGGGCTGGCCGGCTGACAACACGATTGGCTGACGGCGTGACGGACAGACCCGAGGCCCCGCGGGCCGCCCGCCGCCCCCGCCGCCCCCGCCGCCGCGCAGACGCACGCGGAGCGCGCCGCGAGCCTCCGCCTCCGCCCGAGCGCAGTGGCGGGAGGGGCCGGTCACGGCTCGCCGGTTGGTCCGCGCGGGCCCTGCTCGCGGAGCGGCGCGGCCAATCGGCGGCGCGTTCTCGGCCACGCCCGCGCGAGGTCTCTTCTCGCGAGGCCGGGTAGGCCCGAATGTCGTTAGCCGTGGGGAAAGATGGCGGAAAATTTAAAAGGTGAAGGAGTGGTGGCAGCGGCGCCGGCCCTGCCGGCCGGGCTGCGTGGGCTGGAGGGGTGGCGTGGCGGGCTCGGGGCCCGGGCGCCCGGAGCCACGGAGCCGGGAGCCGGAAGCCCGGCGCCGGGAGGCCGCGGCCGGGGAGCGCGGGCCCGGCGCGCGAGGCAGGGCGGGGCGGAGAGGAGGGGGCGCGTGCTCCGCGGCGGCGGCGGGCGCGGGGTGCAGTGGGCACTGGCGGGGGGCGCGCGCGCCTCGGAAGCGACTGGACGGCGCGTGCGCGCGCGCGCGCGGGGGCAGCTGGTCTGGGAGGCCGTGCCCGCGCGCGGGAAAATCAGCCGCCGGTGACCGTTACCCGCCGGTGGTGTCCACGCGAGACGCCGGAAGGAGCGAGGACGGGGGGCACGGACCTCCTCTGGAGAGCGGGGGGCGGGGGGATCGTGTGCGCCGGGCCTCGGCTCGCAGCGTCATGCGGGAAGGGTCCGCGCTAGAGGGGCCCCCCTCGGGAAGAGGGGCAGCGTCTTCCGGAATGGGAGAGCTGGACCCCTCCGTGTGCAGGGGCCGAAGGGGTGATTTTCTCCGTCTCTCGGGGGCGGGGGGCGCCGCTGGGTGAGGAAGGCTGCGGGGGGATGGGTGCCATGCGTGTGGCGGGGGACGCTAAGGGCTAGGAGAGTCCACCTGTGGTCAGTGCGGCGCAGCGGCTGGAGATGTGAGTTGGGACCACTTTAGTGGGGGTTCAAGCGCAAGTTAAGGGATTTGAAAGGGAGAGACGTCACAGGGCGAGGAAGGTGTGGGCACAGGCCGTGTCTCCACTAGGCCTAAGTGTGTGTCTGTGTGTGTGTGTGTGTGTCTGTGTGTCTGTGTGTGCGCGCGCGCGCGCGTGCATGCGCGGGTGTGTGTAGGTGTGTGTGTGTGTAGGGGGTAGTGCACACGAAATACTGCTGCAAAGCTCATACATGTTACGAAATACTGCTGCAAAGCTCATACATGTTGAGGTTAACAGCATTTCCTCATGAGCTGCAGTGTTTTGTGCTTTGAATGGGAGGTAGAAAATATTAACAGGGTTAGGAATGACTGTCCGTTTATAATGTGTGAAGTGATCTGATAAAATGGCTTCTAAAGCACCTTAAGAGTGTACCTGGAATCTTTGAGTCAGAAGGCCTTTTTTAAAAAAAGATCGGTGTGTCTTGAAAATTGTTGGTAGCCCCAGAAACACCCCAGGTATTTTTAAATAGGCACTGTCACTAACCTAGTACTGCGTTGCCTGTTGCTGAATCCCTTTACCCTTCACAGAAATGGGGACGAGGCTGAGAAAGCCAAAGTGCAATGTGGAAAAATATACCTCGTGGGTTGAAGGCACCCAGATGATCATTCAGCGAGGCTTCCTGTAATCTTATTCATAATTCCGAAATTTAAAAAGCTCTGAACTCTTTAAGTTGGGCACCACCATTCAGTGGCAAAACCAGACTATATGGTTCGGTGGCTCTACCTTCTTTCTCCTGTTTAATGTGAAAATTCAGACTTTTGCTGCAGAATGATTGAAGTGTTTGATGATGGCTTGAAGCCCTTGACTACACTGGGGAGCTAGGTAATAGGTGGGATATGCCTATAACTCCACTTGTAGAATAAAATAAAAAATTACCAAGACGCATCTGGCCCCCAGGGATTTCGGATCAGGGCTTGCTGACCAGTCTTTCCAGTTTGTTTGGTGCCCTGGCTATATTAACCTCATGCCACCTACACTCTTGGGGCAATGCTCCCTCCTGAGAGGGGAGGAGGTTCTCTGTTTGCAAAGTGTGGAGGAGAGGAGAGGAGGAGAGGATTGGGCCATGGACGCTTGGATGGTTTGCAGGCGGTTTTAGGAACAGTACAGAGGGAGTTGGGAGCTCTGGGGATAGATTCCTTTAGGACAATCCAAGCAGCAGAGCATACTTTGAGGTCTCTTGCTCCAGGAGTAGCCTTGGGTAGTGAGCATTGGGGTTGAAGGAGCTGGCACATTTTTGTGGTGGAAAGGTCTTAGCATTCGGGAGACCTGTGGATTAAGTCTCACTGACTCAGGGAATTCTTCAGAAGTCCCAGGAAGGACTTGGGGTACTCTTTGACTCTCGGCCTTGCCAGGATGCCCAGGAATGCTTTTTATGTTCTAGGCTGCACTGTGTGTTGCAAATCTTCTTGGAATCAGCTGCAGGACCTGTGCCGCTTGGCCAAGCTCTCATGCCCTGCCCTCGGAATCTCCAAGAGGAACCTCTATGACTTTGAAGTGGAGTACCTGTGTGATTACAAGAAGATCCGAGTGAGTCTGGGTGACCACGGCCGGGCAGGGGGTGTCTCAAGGAAGCTGGCTTCCTCCTCCCTTGCCCTACTATGTGCATTTGATTCTAAATGGGATTTTCTTCTCTGATCTTAACAAATAGGATTAGTAGGCCACCCTCTCATTTCTGTCTCACTGATGGAGAAATCTAGTAACTTTCTGAGGGAGCCAGGAGCCAGGATGAAGCCCCCCACCTCCCTAAGAATGCGAACCAGTTGAGCAGCTGAGCTGGGGGTGAGGATAGCTAACGGTTCTTGAGCACGTGAGCAAGGTGCTTTCCCTCAAACTCATTCAGTCCCCCCACCAGCACTGTGACATGGGACTGCTATCATGGCCACAGGAGGTAATGTTAGGACAGTTAAAGAGAACAGACCAGAGTTAGCACGCTTCAGTTCAAATCCTAGTCGTGTCACCTCGGGATACTTAATGCAAATTCTCTGTACTTTATTCTCCTTGTCTATAAAACGGGGATGCTTAGTAGTGTCTACCTCAGAGAGAGTTGTGAGGATTAAGTTAGTTAATAATACAGTACGTTAGAACAGTACATGCTACATAATGTTAACAAAAAAATTAAGCTTTTTTCCTTATCTACAGATGAGGAAACCAAGGCTCAGCAAAATGAAATAACTTGTCCAAGGCCACACCGCTAGGGAATGGAGGTTCAGAGTTTGTACCCAGGGTATCTGTGTGGTTAAACTGTGTCCCATAGCCGCCCCCACCCCCCAGCAAGAAAAGGTCCCTCTGGCTGCTATTGGGAGAACAGATTATAGGGACATGGGGACTGTGAGGAGGCCACTGCTGCAGTCCAGGCGAGGGCTGATAGCGGTGGCAGCGATGGTGGTTGGAAGTGGGGGGATTCTGGATGTAGTCTGCAGTGGGTGTTGACAGGATTTGCTGAGGGTGGACGGGAGGAAGGTTAGAGAGAGGAGTCAAGGATGAGTCCAAGAGTTGGGGCCTGAGCTGCTAGCAGAAGGGAAGTGATGATGAGGAAGACAGAGAAGGGCGTAGGTTTAGGAGATAAGATTAAAATTTAGAATTTGACCCTGGCCAGAGTGGCTAGTTGGTTGGGCTTCGCCCCATGCATTGAAAGGTTGCTGGTTCCATTTTCAGGGCACATGCCCTGGTTGTGGGTTTGATTCCCTGTCAGGGGTGTGCAGGAGGTGGCTGGTCATTGTTTCACTCTCACATCGATGTTTCTCTCTCTCTCTGTCTCTCTCTCTCTCTCTCAAAATAAATTAAAATTACTTTTAAAAAAAAGACAGTATGAGTAGAACAGGATTTGAACCTATTGATCCTGGCTTTAGAGCCCATGCTTTTTAGCCAATGCGTGGAGCCATTCCAGAAAAGGGCAGGGTGTGGCTTGGGATGGAAATCTCACGAGGGCTGGCCCAAGGTCTCGCCACTTACGGAGGCCCCATCCCCCTGGTCCCTCCCACAGGAACAGGAGTATTACCTGGTCAAATGGCGTGGATACCCAGAGTCCGAGAGTACCTGGGAGCCACGGCAGAATCTCAAGTGCGTGCGCATCCTCAAGCAGTTCCACAAGGACTTAGAGCGAGAGTTGCTCCGGCGGCGCCACCGGTCAAAGCCCCCCCGGCACCTGGACCCAAGCTTGGCCAGCTACCTGGTGCAGAAGGCCAAGCAGAGACGGGCGCTTCAGCTCTGGGAGCGGGAGCTCAATGCCAAGCGCAACCACCTGGGACGCATCACCGTGGAGAATGAGGTGGATCTGGATGGCCCCCCTCGGGCCTTTGTATACATTAACGAGTACCGCGTTGGCGAGGGCATCACCCTCAACCAGGTGGCCGTGGGCTGCGAGTGTAAGGACTGCTTGTGGGCACCCGCTGGAGGCTGCTGCCCCGGGGCCTCGCTGCACAAGTTTGCCTACAACGACCAGGGCCAGGTGCGCCTGCGAGCCGGGCTGCCCATCTACGAGTGCAACTCCCGCTGCCGCTGCGGCTATGACTGCCCCAACCGCGTGGTACAGAAGGGCATCCGCTACAACCTCTGCATCTTCCGCACGGATGACGGGCGCGGCTGGGGTGTCCGCACGCTGGAGAAGATCCGCAAGAACAGCTTCGTCATGGAGTACGTGGGAGAGGTAGGGAGTCAGGACCGTGCGCGTGTGTGCAGCTCTATCCATCCTGTGTTCCTACTGTGTGCACCCAGCTCTCATCACAGTGTGCCTCCACCTTTCCCGCTTTCACTGTGGGAGATGTGGGTGGTGGCGGCGGTTAACCCAAGCTCTGGGGATATCCAGGCAGGGGGGAGAGTATTCCAAGCTGGTAGTTAAAAGTATATTGAAACACTTCTAGACAGGGCTGATTTCATACGGGTACCTGGCAAAGAGAAGGGTGGGCACTGGAATCCACGCAGTGCTCCATGTGGTCTGCACCGGGTTGTGTTCCCTGAAAAGGCATTTCTCATTTCACAAGGGTCCGGCTTACTGCTCAGCATTGTCTTCCCAGAAAGAGGCCCTTTCATAATCTCACAAAAAGAACAGCCAGGAGTAGGCATAAGGGAGGACATAAGCCATGCCTTGCGGAGGTTGGCTGCTTCCTCTAGGCTGGCAGGGTACTGGAAAGACCAGCCCTATTAGGCAGGCGAGCTGCCGGACCAAACAACTCGCAGGGTTTAGTGACTTGGCACGTTAAAAGTCTGTTTGCTCCCGTAGCTGTCTGGCACTGGTGCGGGCAGTGTCCTGTGTACAGTGGGGCGGCTACGAGGCTCTGCCCCTCTTGTGCCTTTGCCATGCCTGAGGGCCTTGGAGCAGCCTCTGGTTCTCAGCCTTGCCTGGTAAGTAGACCAAGGGGAAGGGGGGGGTCCTAATGGGCCAGGCCTGGACCCGGTGCACATCACTTCTGTCCGCATCCACTGCCTGGAACCGCACCCCTGGCCGTGCCTCCATAAGGGCAGGCTGAGATGGCTTAGCTGTGTGCCCAGGTGGGAAACGGATTTGGGCGAATAGCTAGCAGGTGTCTGCAGTGTCGCTGTCAAAGGTGGGAGGCATTGAGCATCTGGAATTCTGGGGTGGGGCAGCTCTTTGTCCTTAGGACCATCTCATGCATTGAGGGACACTTTACACCCATGAGTGTGCCCTGGCATGGTGACCACCCTCAATTCCTCCATGTTTCCCCGCGTTTCTTAGGGGTTGCTGTGATTGGGAAGTGGCGGGAATGGGCATAAGGGACATGCCCCCGAGGATGTCTAAACAGTAGTAATGAAACTGGGGAAGAGAAGAGGAGCCCACTTTGACAAACTCTAAAGCAGAGAGGGCCATTGGAGGCAGAGCAGTCCACACTGCAGAGCACCTGACAGTGTGGCTGAGGGACAGTCCATACCCCAGGGAGTCCTGCGGGCCTGGTGGAGGGAATGCCCACAGACCAGAGGAGGAGGAGGAGGTGGCATTACCCCAGAGGGGTCCTGACAAGCCGCAGGAAGAGATGGCCACATCCCAGGGTGACCTAGAGGCTGAGAGCAAACTGCCCACACTCCAGAGGGCCCTGGTGGTCTGCCTTAGGAGGTGCCGCACCCACACTGTCCTGGCAGTCAAGAAGTGTCCTCACCCAGAGGGGTTTTGACTAGCTAAAGGAGGTCAGGGCCACCCCCGAGAGGACTCTAAACCTAAGGAACTGTCCGAACCTTAGCTCCGGACACTGGAGGAGGGACGCTAACAGTTGGGAGGAGATGGTAACATCTCAGAGGGATGTCGCCGTTCTGGAGGAGGACGTGTCCTTGGCCCCACAGGAGCCCGGCAGGCCGAGAGGCCGTCCAGGACAGATGGTGTCTTGGCCTCACTCTGCTGTACTGCCGATCTCAGGAAAGGCCGTCTGCAGCATAGGGTCCTGAGGCAAAAGGAGGAAGACTGCAGCCCCCGGCACCCCAAGTCCCCCAGGCCTGTCCTTTCCTGGCTGTTCTCCCGTAGTGTGCTTACTCCTCCGCACTGGAGACCTCCGCGTTTCCAGGGGCCTCTTGTTCCCTGTCTGACTCTTCCTACTCTCCCTCATTCTCTCTGAGCTCTTTCTTAGCCTCCCTCCTGCTACAGTCAGCAATTTCCAGGCCCCTTCCAGTCCCCTCAGGCCTGTGGGACCTCCTGATGGCAGGAGAGGCCCCCAACACTGCCAGAGCCAAACTCACCTGCGTCCTCCTGCGGAGGCAGATGGCACAGTGGGCAGGAGGGTGGACCTGCTGCCCGAGACTGAGTCCTAGCTCCCCCCTCCTCAGCTGTCACTTCCCCTCCTGTGTCTGTCTCCTAATCTGTAGAATGGGGCTGATAAGTGCACCCACCGCTTACGCTTGTGTAAGAACTACAGGAGTTGTCACGTGTGAAGCATTTAAACCCTCTCCAGTATAGAGTAAGGCTCCAATCAGCGTTAGCCACTACATTCTAGAGTTCAGAAACCCAAGATTTTTGTAGCACATCTGGCTATAAAACCTAACGACCTGATTTGGGCATATTTACAGTCTTTTTCTTACTTGGTATCACTATTTATAAGTTTCATTGTAGAAATATTAATTCACTTGGTTACGTGGTGTTGTCCCAGACCCTACCTCGTGTTACACAATCGAGGGTACACATTCCATACCTGTTCACCACCCTGTCCGACAGTGTGCACCTCTGCCCTGAGATTCTTTCCAGCTGCCCTTCCTCTCCTCTGCACCTTCCCACCTCTGCCAGACATCCCTGCCCTACTCAGCAGAGCCATGGCCTGTTTTATCCATTGTCTTCATATTTTAATAACTGAAGTGACGGTGAGTCTCAATTAGTTTAACTCGATTGCATCTCATTTAATGAGCAGCAGTTTGACAAGATACAGGACGCACAACCTCTCCTAACTGCTTTGTTCCTAACCGAAACGAAAACAAACCTTTCGCATCCGGCATCTTGTTGAATCTTTGCCACAGCCCCTGTCTGGCTGGGATTGTTGTCATTGTCATCCCATTCTACAGATGGGAAAACTGAGGCCGAGAGCAGTATAGTACAGGGCTCACAGTCATCAAGTTAGTCAAGTGGATTAAAAAAAAAAAATCCAAGTGTTTAAATTGGTGCCCTGCCAGACCTGGTGGAGTTTTTTGTTTTCTGGTTTTTAGCTGGGGAGATGTATGTAGGGAGAGAACATTTAGGGTCCCATTATCTGGGAGGGGGCAGAGTCTTCTGCTTCCTGTTCACGTCACCCCGTTTCTAAGCTGCTAGCTTCTAGCGCATCTAGCTTCCCCCGTCATCCTGGAGGGTTGCTAGGGAACAGACACACACACTGCCCAGCCCTTCCAGAGCGCACTGAAAAGCAGACAGCAGGAACGGTTTGTGCCCTGGAGGGCTTGCAGGGTGACTCATCCCTGGTGAGACTGGGGGAGCAGGTAGGGGCAGAGAGGCAGGAAGATGAGACGGGGGAAACGGTGGGGCATTCCCTCCGGAGGGAGGGCTGAGAGGAACAAGCTGGCGCACACAGCGCCCAGGATGCTGGGAGCCCCGCGGAGGCTGCCCTTTGTTCCTGGGGCTGCAGGGCGGCTGGGGGTCGGCTCAGGGAGACTGAGGAAGGCTGCAGAGAAGTGACATCGAGCTGCCCCCACAAGAGGAGAGTGTGTGCTCTCCAGGCGGTGGAGGGAGACGCGCCTTGTCCTCTTCCTCAAATGCTGCTGTGTCTCCTGTTGTGTCCCTCTGGGGACAGTCCCCGCTCTGCAGCCTGTGTCAGAGCCCCCTTAGGGTCCGCAGCTTGCTTTCCACGGTGTTTCTCTTTCCTGTGGCTCCTGGAACCCGCCTCATTCTCTCCCTGTGACTGTCTAAGCCCATCTCCTGTCACAACACTGACCATGATCGATAGGATGGGCCTGGTCCCTGTGGCTCCCCCACCCAACTGACCCCTGAGGGCCAGGACGGAGCCTGGTCCCTGGGTTGTCTCCCCACCCACTGTGACCCACGTCTGCCCCTGCAGACGCTGACTTCTGAGCGCTCGGGCAGGCACGGGGGAAGCCTCATAAAAACCCACTGAATGAATGAGTGGCTGAACACATAAACCCTTTTCCTCGGGGCTCCTGAAGGAAAAGCTGGAGGATGGCGCAGTGAGCAGTGTGAGGGATAGACCTTGGTCTCCTAAAGGTGTTGTTGATCAGCATTTGATGGGATCGAGGCCGAAGGTGATGGTGTAAGAGGCAGGTAGGAGGCGGGACACTGGTATGGCCATCCAGACTGGAGAAACTGCTCAAAGCTAGAAGGGGAGATCTGGGAGTACAAACAGCATGGCTACTAGCTGGCATGTGGGTGGGCAGGAGGGAGGCAAGGGTAGATCCATTGTCAGAAGGGGGCTGGTGATGGGCACTGGGTCTGCAACCACAGGAGAGGGAAGGAAGAAAGGGTGTGGGGGGGCAGTTTTAGGCACCAGGGAGCCCTCACCCGGAGACGGCATGGTTAGCTACATGTGGGGGTACCGAAGGCTGTTACGGTTGGCCCAGGGGGAAGAAGGGACCTTCGGGATGGAGAGGAGCGGTCGGGCTGGATGGGGATGGGGCGGAGAAGCATCCACGGCATTGGGGAGGCAGGCACAGGTCAGGGCTAGAACGAGCAGCTCCATGTTTATAGGTTAGCAGGGACCCAGCCTTGGAGAGAGGTCTCCTGTCATCTGAAATGCCAGTAGCTGACACTGCATAGCCCCGGGGCGGAGGGAGGGGTTCCTGCCCAGCTCCTGCTCCTCTTTCACCTTCCTGCTGTGCTTTGGCCTCTGCCTTTTTCTGGCTGCTGAGATCCTCAGAGATCTTGGTCTTATCTCTGGGCCTGCATCTTTCCTAGGAAGCTTCTGTCTGTGCTTCTCACAGGGTCTCTAGCTCTGCTGTGTGAGCCTCCCAGTCAGTCTCCCTCCCCCCGCAGCTCAGAGCTCTTCTGCTTCTGTGTCCTCCCAGCGGTGTCCTCCCCCCCGTGCTGGCTCTCCCCGCGAAGCCTCAGTCCCCTTGTCCTGGATGAGTCAGCTTCTCATCCTGCTTTCCTCTCCCCTCTCTCTCTGTGCCCTGGGTCTTTTTCTTTCTTGCCCTGGACTTGCATCTCCTATATGTCACTATGGGTCTCATGATGGGGCTATATCTGTGTCTGTCTGTCTGTCTACTGTCTCATCACTAGACCTTGCGGCCAGCCTTCACTCACCATTGAGAGACTTCCTAGACCAGCAGTCGCCAACCTTTCAGACCTCATGGACCACCGGTGATCAGACCACCGGTTGGTGACCGCTGCCCTAGACCGTCCAGAGGCCTGAGATGAATGGGTGGTGGGCAGCTGAGGACCAGCCCCGTGGAAGGACTGACAGACCCTCTGCCTCCCTGCCTCCCATGTGTCCGTGCTTGCCAGCCACATGGGCGGGGGTGCCTCCCCACTCCCTTTTCTCCTCCGGGGGGCCAGGCACTGTGTTGGCTCGCCTGAGCCTCCTTGGCCAATCCCCTCTCCCGTGCCCCTTTCCCAGATCATTACTTCGGAGGAGGCGGAGCGGCGGGGCCAGATCTACGACCGCCAGGGTGCTACGTACCTCTTCGACCTGGACTACGTGGAGGACGTGTACACTGTGGACGCGGCCTACTACGGCAACATCTCCCACTTCGTCAACCACAGTGTGGGTGCCTGCAGGTGGGCGAGGGGCGGGAAGAGCGGGCTGGCCCCCTCCTCACCCTCCTGCCGTGCCTTTCCTCCCAGTGCGACCCCAACCTCCAGGTGTACAACGTCTTCATAGACAACCTTGACGAGCGGCTGCCCCGCATCGCTTTCTTTGCCACGAGGACCATCTGGGCAGGCGAGGAGCTCACTTTTGATTACAACATGCAAGGTGGGGGTGTCAAGGGACTGGGGGCAGGGGCACACAGTGACATGGGACACAGACCCCTCCCCAGGGAGCTTTAAGATGCTCTTTCCGATTCCCGTCTCCCATCTGGATTTTGGAACCCTGCCCATCCTTTGGGGTCCCCTCATTCCCAGCCCTTTGACCAACTTCCCCCAAGACTCCCGGGGGAGGAAGGTGTTTGGCTGGAGAATTAGATACTGCTCCTGACTCCCGTCTTGTCTGAAATACCCCAGTCCCCCAGCCCTCCCTGCTCCTAACCCTTTTTGGCCTTTCCGTTCCAAGCCTCTGGACACTATGGCCTCCAACCAGTCCCCTACTTGACACACTAGCCACCTCTGAGATATTCAAGAGGGGATGTTTGCAGGAGAGTTCAGAGAGCCCTCTGATGCCCAGGTGACCCTTCATTCCTGACCTCTGCCTGGGACAACCCTTTGGTTCTCCCCAACACCCCTGCCTCCCACAACCCCCAAGCCCTGGCCATCTTCCTTTCCCCCGTAACCCCCAAACCCTGGCCATCTTCCTAACATTGGACACCTAGTGCTAAGCCCTGACTCCAGCCCCCATCTACCAACCCCATGACCCCCTCCTGACCCAAATCCCAGCCCTGTTCCCAGCCCCCAAGGTCCCTGGGTGTCGTGGTAAAGGGGCAGTGGGACACTACACCTAGGCCTTCTAACAAGTCCCCCCTCCTCCCTCCCTCTCTGGCTGTGTGACTCCACAGTGGACCCCGTGGACATGGAGAGCACCCGCATGGACTCCAACTTTGGCCTGGCCGTGCTCCCCGGCTCCCCCAAGAAGCGGGTCCGTATTGAATGCAAGTGTGGGACTGAATCCTGCCGCAAATACCTCTTCTAGCCCTTGGAAATCCGAGGCCAGCCTGACTGTGGGGCCCAGAGCCCATCTCACCCACCCCCGTTCTCACCTCCCTCCTGTTGAGGAATGCCTGCCAGGGCCTCCCGCCTGCTTCCACCTCCCCCCGCCGCCCTGTGCTGGGGGCTGTGGTGCGGACTGACTGCCAGAAACCCCCTCTCCCCATCCCAGCTCCGTGGGTTGCACTTAACAACCCTGTGCCCATTTTGTGAAGTAGGTTGTCACCGTCAGGCGTTTCTGCAGTTGAGATTCACAGCCCATCTGGGGTGAGCCCAGCCCCAGGATGGAAGGATGGCTAGGCACTTGCTTCAGCCCGGAGCTTGAGGGGTGTGTTGCAGGCCCTCACCCTGCTGCTCCGGGAGTGGAAGCTGCCCCAGGGCAGGCTGACATCAGAGTTCAGACCTCAGCCCACGTGGTGGAAAAAAAAGCAGGGCTGGGGACTGGTTTCTGCTTATGCTCACATGTAGGCTTTGCATCCCAGAAGTGAAGGAGAGTGGATGCCCATGGCTCACTGGTCACTGGCCAGTGAGAGGAAGGCAGTCCAGACCCTCCGAGCCCTTATGGTGGACTGGGATTGAGCTCTGCCCATGAGGTGCACAGGAGGCGCCTGGGAGCCCCGTCAGCATGTGATGACTCCTGGGCTGCTCAGAGCTGGAACCAAGACCTAGGTAGGCTGTAGATAGCACTTAGGACAAAAATGGGCATTGGCGGGGTGGTGAGGAGGTGCCAGGCCCTGGGCCGAGCACCTGGTCTGCATAGATTGTCTCAGGGAAGCCTTAAAAACTGTGGAGGTGGATCCTAGCAAAGGGCCCATACGGCAGGAGGCCAAGGGCAGACTCAGAAGTTCCCTGCCCACAGATGTACAGAAGACGAAGGCTCTGATGGCTGCCTCACCCCTTGCTTCCCCTGTGAGGTCTTCTCCAGGAAGCCTTCCCTGACTACCTGTGTCCAGAGTTCCCCTCTGTGAGACTGTGCCCTGCCACCAGATCTGTGTGGCTGTCTGTGTGTCTGTGCTCCCTGCCCCTAGACTGACTTTCAGGCATGGACTGAATCTCATTCTCCTCTTGTATATTTCTTGGCCCGACCCAGCCTGGGGTAGGCATCAATAAAAAGAGTTGTTGACTGAACAAACCAAGGCGTGGGGATTGAAGACCTCACGTAAGTGGGGTTGGGGGATGAGAGGCTGGGAGCTGGGGTACCCAGGGACATATTCCTCAAACCTCAACCACTGGACTGGAACACCCCACAGCATACCACCGCCACCACTGTCTCCCTAACACCTTGACTTAAAATAAGCTTGTTTTATACTTCCTCACAGACATGTACTCTGGGTACTAACCCTCACACCTGGGATACACTTCTCCATCCAGCTCGGAGATCTCGGACACAGACCCTGAATAACAGGCTACACCAGAACTAGGAAGCCAGACTTGCAAACAGCCCCAAGACATAAATGCTGCCTCCTATGCTGGGATCTGGACCCCAGACACATCACAGAGCTTCCTTTTGGGATAGAAATCTCAAAGACCGCACAGCCAGGGATACTGTTACCTAAGTTATTCAGAGTTTTCACACCCTGATCATCGATTCCCAGACTGCTTGGAGCTCTCCCATCCTGGGACAGATCCCAAACAGCTGAGATGTCACCCCCCAAACACCTGAGACCTCACACTTGGAACACAGATCCCTAAATGATCCTGAAACCTTACTTGGACACAGACCCCCACATTGCTCAGAGACATCCTGAAAGAGCACTAAACACCCCAAAGACCCCACTACCTACAATATGGTGCCACAACTTAGAGCCTCAACTCTTAGACATAGACCCCAAAAAGCTTAGAGACCTCACAGCCCAGAAACACCGTGCTTAGAGAATTCTGACCTGGGAAGGAGATCTGTGGACAGCTCAGAGGCCTCTCACCTGACACAGACCCCAAAATGGTTCAGAATAGGGCACCAGAGGAAAGACTACCAAATGCTCCAGAGACTTCAAGCTTTGTAACCCACACATCTGAAAGTCTGCCTGCAGCCCCCCACAATGTTCAGACACTTCAGAACCAGGGATACAGACCCACCAATTCCTCAGAGACCTTACACTAGAGAAGAGATGGACAGATAGTTCAGAGACCTCACACCCTCTTAGACCAGCAGACTAAGAGACCTCACACCCTGAACACAATACCCAAGAGCTCCCAAGTCCTACACACAAACAGCCCTGAACCAGCTCAGAGACCATGATCTTGACACAGATTGCTGTTCACAGAGGTCATGTACTAGACATAGAATTCCTAAAAATAGCTCAGAGCTTTCATATATTTACCTAGTGATCCCCAAAAGACCTCACTCGGTCCACAGAGGAGCTCAAAGATCTGAAAATCTGAATACTAGTCCTCTACATAGTTTAGAGACTTCACACCTTGTAACTCCTCCCCACCCCCAGTACACTGAGTGGCCAGATCTGTGAACACAGAATAATCTCATCACTCAGTGTATATCCTATATAATAAAAGGCTAATATGCAAATTGTCTCCACCAGGAGTTCAACCAATAGGCTAACCGCCTACGTCTCCTCACCCCTGGCCAGGCTGGCGGATCCCACCCATGCACAAATTCATGCATCAGGCTATATATATATATGTGTGTGTGTGTGTGTGTGTGTGTGTGTGTACACACTGAGTGGCCAGATTATTATGATCTCTGAACACATAATAATCTGGCCTCTCAGTGTATGAGATCACACAACCTAGACACAGACCCCAAACAGCATATAAACCTCACATCCTGGCCTCAAGTCCCCAAACAGCTCAGAATCTACACTCTAAGCACGGACCTCCAAATGATTCAGAAATATCATACCCTAGACTCAGACCTCAGAACCATTCATGGACCTTACCCTTCGTGCTCATATCCAGAATTGACAGATCAAACAGCTTAGAAACCTCACATTCTGCAAAGTCTGCCATCAATAGCAGATACCTCATAACTGGCACAGACCTATAGCAGCAGAGGGACCTTACATTGTGGACACAGGCTCTCAGACAACTCGGAGAACTTTTGAAAAAGACATTTTTAAAAAATATATATATTTTACTGATTTTATACAGAGAGGAAGAGAGAGAGTTAGAAACATCGATGAGAGAGAATCATTGATCAGCTGCCTCTTGCACACCCCCCACCGGGGATGTGCCCGCAACCAAGATACGTGCCCTTGACCGGAATCGAACCCAGGACCCTTCAGTCCCCAAGCCTCTATCCACTGAGCCAAACCGGTTTCGGCAAAAAAGACATTTTTTAAAATTGATTTCAGAGAGGAAGGGAGAGGAAAAGAGAGAAACATCAATGATGATAGAGAATTATTGATCGGCTGCCTCCTGCACGCCCCCTTTTAGGGATCAAGCCCGCAACTTGGGCACGTGCCCTTAACCGAAATTGAACGCTGGACCCTTTAGTCCGCAGGCCGACGCTCTATCCGCTGAGCCAAACGAGCTAGGTCTTCAGAGAACTAACCTGGGAGATCCAAAAGGAGCTCAGAGACAGCACATTTGGCGTCATAGCCCACACGGCTTAAGTACTTCACATAGTGCGACAGAAACTCAGGGAGTTTATTATCCTCACAGTCTGCAAAGCAGACTCACAGGTTTTCCAGAGACCCCACATGTAAGCAGACAATGCCCCAATGCTCAGAGTTAACAAAACTTGCATCCTAGGACACATTCCCACACAGCTCACATACGTAACCACCTGGACACAGACACCCCCCCACCCAACACCTGAAAGACATCACACTGGTAACAAAACCCCAAGCCACTCAGCGACCTCAGACCCTAGCACTGAGACTCCCTCAATAGGAACTACGGGAACACACCCCAACAGTTACAGACCTCACCAGCAAGGGATTCGCAGATCAGAGATCTCACACTTGGGGACACACCTCAGAAGTCTGAAATAGTAGAAAGATATCAAACTCAGGAAACAGATTCTGAAACTGCTCTGAAAAATCACACCCAGGACAAAAGTCACAACATCATAGAGCACTCATTCCCTCCCTAGGACATGGGCTCAAAAGTGTTCACACCCTGAGCACAGACACTCCAACACATCAGAGTCCTCATCTGAGGGTTTCGGGCACTCAGACCTGAAAAGAGAGACTTCTAAATAGTTCAGAGATACCATATTCTGCACAGACACCATCACACTATTGAGATATTTTACATGCCAAATAAAGACTTTCAAACTGCTCAGAAAACGGGCATATGTGTGCATGTGCGCGCGCACACACACACACACCACTGAAAGCTCACAGACTACCCTGGAACAAACTCCTAGTTACACCCTGAGACTGAGACCTCCCAAGGGGAATAGGTTTCATACCTGAAACTATATCCCAAACAGGTCAAGGAGCTCTCGAACCAAAAACGCTCAGGGACCATGTATTCTAGGACAGTCACCCAAACAGTTCACTCACCCCTGGAATGTAGACCAGAAAAAGCTCAGAACTCTTGAATCCAAGATTCAGAGAATCAATATGCTGGATACAGAACATCAAATAATTCAGAGACCTCAAAGCGCGGGACATACACAACCAAACAGGTCAGGGACCTTACAGCCTGAGACATTCACACAAAAATAGCTCAGAGAATTCAAGTTCTAGGAAATAAATGCTCCCAAAGAACAGACCTCATACCCTGTGACATATGCACAAAAATAACCTCATGAACTGCGCTTTATACCCACAAATAGTTCAGAGAAATAGCATTTAGGGAATACACCCATACACAGATCAGAGCACTTACATCCTGGAGATACATGGATCAGGTAGCTCACACCTGAGACCTCACACGCTAGATCAAAGGAAAATAGGTGGCAACCTGGGACACAGCCCCAGACAGACCAGAGACCACACACTGCTGACAAACATACGACAGACTGTCACACTCGAGACAAACAACCATAAGAGATAAGATATCTCACATCCCGATGGACAC